TTAACCACACATTCTAAAAAATATCTCATGAAAATAGAGCCAAAACAGAGACTATCTTTGTTCTTGATATCTGGCAGTTACATCTTTTGTCATTTATTAATAGACAATTGAAATTTTAAATCCTTTTGTCCTCTTTATATCCTCCAAATTGATGAAAATGATTTGTCTATGTCATGTCCTGTTGTCCATGTTACTATTGGTTGTTACAATGTTATATATTAGGAACCTTTTTGTCATTTGTTAGCAGTTTAGGGACCAATTGTACAATTTTAATTAATGTTAGGATTTAGTAAAAATCCCCAATTTTATCCAAACCGACATTGAGAATGATTAAAGATTTATGGTTGTATTATTCGATAGTTTTATGATTTCGCTGCACCATAGTTGCAACACTTAGATGAATATTACAGCATTTTAGTTTTCATCGATCAGTAAATTGTAGCAAGGGTATTTTAAATTTATCAATATTTCGTTTTATTGTCGAAAATTTCTCAAAATAACTGAAGAAAATAATAATATTCCATGGTGAATTATAAAGAAGAAAAATAAGTGGACAATAATGGATTCAATAGCATCCCAAAAGGTTAAAGAGCAAAGTAGATACACTAAGAAAAGTTGTGGTCACAGAGGGAAAAAGGGAAAGTGTAACAAAGTTATGGACGGTGTGTGTATATGCCTCTTTTGAGTAGGTTAAAGATTATCAAAGTTAAAATTCGCTTTTACTCCGTTCAACATATTTTCTTTTAGAGTTAAACGCACTCGATTTCATCAAATTGACGTCCAAATGTTGTACTTTCAAGCTTGACCATCTCTTTAAAAAAAAAATCTCGATTTTAGAATTCGTGAATATTTTCACAGTTCTCATTTTTTGTTTGTATGGATTATGTACTTTTTTTTTAAAGAGTAACATCAAATTTCACTTGTTACTCTAGCAGTACAATCACTTAGTCAGGACCCCCAAAGTAACACTACTGGAGACCTGAGGGGCTGCAACCATAGGTCCAGGGTAGTTGCCATTAAAGACCTCCTAAGGGGCTGCAACTATAGGTCCAGGGTAGTTGCCATGATCTCCCAACTCCCAAGGTGCTCTTATTCTTGAGCAAAAATAAATAAGTAATATTATTCATAGTGAAAATTATCGATAATCGTTCTACTGACATAATGTGACGGTTAATTGGCATTGAATTTTTTATTTTTTTTTAAATAAGATGTAAATTGACTTTTTAGTAAGGGAGTGTTCTGTAGAGATTAAAATTGAAAAATTAGTCGTTATTGTTGACTTTTATTAGACGAGTAAGACCCAATAACAGCTATGTTTTCAATTTTAATTGAATTTTAAGTTTAGCCAAATATGCTCTAAATAAATTTCCCCAAGATTATCTATACATAGTATGCTTGCACAAGAAGCCTTGGTCGCCCACTTTACAGTCAAAGGCTCCAAGCCAATTCATGGAATTTGAAAAGGCAAAAGTCGGGAAGCTTAGACCTATTTGACAAATTATAAGTTAATTAAACGTCATTTTTAATTATATATTTTATTGTATTCACTAATTTTATTTTTATTGGCTTATAGTCTCAACTCAAACATGGGAAAACATTTCAATAATTTCAAATATGTCCCCCATTTTAAATAAAACAAAGCTTTTAAAAGGGACCAAAAAAAAGTGAAAATAACTCACCACTTAGTCTGCTAAAGAGCATAGTCAGACTGTAAAAGGACATTAATCATGTCACGTTGAATTTCATCATTGGACTGTTTAAAATATAGTCACATTTTTCATCCAATCACAAAATGTCACACACTCTTATGTCAAACAATCTGTCTTACGCCCATATTTAACACACATTCGTTCAAAAATTATTTTCAACCAAACATTTTTCAATAAAATAATATTTTTCATCACATCAATAAATTTTTTTTTACTTTTTAATCACATATTTCACGTCATATCATTATTTAAAATATATTATTTTCTCGATAATGTCAATCAAACACACCGTAAAGTATCATTTGTTGGTCAATTACTTTTTAAAGTATGATTTGGCATCTCAAAGAGGAGACCAAATCTATGGGCTCACTTTTTACAAAATTTGGCGAGGGTTAATAGAGATTTTGTTTCTTGGATGTGTATGTTTTAAGATGGAACTTTGAAAAATTAAAAGCTACCTCTCGTACTTTATTTTTGAACATTTTAAAGTAATTTTCTGAAAATCTTAGCCTATTTAGAACGACTTTATTATTTATTCTTTTTAAGGAAACTATTTTAATTTTTATTTAGAAACTAATTCCTAAAAGAAATTATTTCGAAAAAACTTTTAGACGAGGTCATATTGAATCAATTTTCTCTAAAATTATTTATAATTAACAGAAGTACTTTCATAAAATTAGTCAAACATGTTCGAGAGCGACCTTTAAGTCTCAAGAGTTCCTTTTAGGTCTTCAAAATCCCTTTTCACCTCTCAAAAGCCATGTCAAATGGATCCAAAAATATCTTTTCAATCTCAAGTCTCCTTTTAATTTCTCAAAAATCGTGTCAAATATACAATTAGTCTGCCTAAAAATACTTTTAGAGTAAACTAATGTAAAATAGGTTTTTCTAAAACTCTTTAACGAGAAGCATTAGGAATTGCCCTCCCTATTAAAAATTAGGGAAATTTTCACAATCCAGGTGTATGGTTTACACCAATTCAAAAAACAGGTATATAGTTTAAAAATTCAAAATTCAGGTGTTACGTAATTAATAAAAAATATTCATTAATTAAATATAATTAGATCACAATTATACAATTAATGATCACAATTTTATTCATAAGTCACAGATTTTCAAATTAATGGGTCACAATCTTCAGTCACATATTTCAAAATTAATTGATCACAGATTATTTAATAGTCACGGATTTAAAAAATTGTAGGTCACGTGGTCACATATTTCCAAATCAGTTGATCACATATTCTTTCACGGCCACAGATTATATAATTTTTAGGTCACAGATAACAAAATGACTGGTTACAAATTAACTAACACCTCACTTTCACCTCTGATTCTGATCCACCACCTTGATCGCTCACCACCACGCCCAAACCAACCACCGCGCCAGAGCCAACCACCACTTCCATCAAAAAAAATCACTGCCACCGCCAACAAACCCCGTCAGTTCCACCACCACAGCCACTACCACCACGACCACTTGTGACCCCCCTCACCCCGACGACACCACCGCCACATAATAGCCATTTACGACCACCACCTTACCACAACCAACAGTGTCAAATCCACCACCTCACCACTGCCAAAATCCACCACTAACATCTCCAGATCCACATACACCATTGACAACAAAAAAATCTCAAAAATCTTATCAATTTTTTTTTTCTTTTTAATATTTGTTTGCACTATAATTAGAGAAGAAAACATTACTTCTCACGATACTCATTACTCGTTACATCAACTGCTTTCTTATTTAGAGGACCCATCATATAGCAACATTCTTTAATAGTATGTTTATGATAGTTAAAATGCACAATATTTATTGAATTCCAACTTAGTAGTGACTAGTGATGTACAATTTCTATGCTTGTGTGGTTTTATTTGAGCCTCATTTTTTTTTGTGTAAATGAATTTTGTAATAGTGATTTTTGGAGAACGTGTGATTAAAAAGTAAAGATTTTTTTTTTTTTTTTTTTGGATTTATGTGTAATTTAGTGTTATTACTATTATTATTTTTAAAAATATGATTGAAAATGAGTTTTTTAATAATGCGTCCAAACAAGAGCGATCTCCGTCTGACCAATCAAAAGAAGGGTTCTCTATCCATGACCACTCACCTTAGAACTATGGAATTCTATATTGATTCTTTGGCCTCGATTATTTTTGGCATTGTTTCTTTGCAAGATTGTATGCCTTTATTTGTTTCAAATATTTTTCGAATGATTTAAGTGAATAAATTCGTTGGAATGCTCTTCAAAATAAAAATCACTAAGATCACGATGAAGGATTATGTTCTTGATACTATCATTTCGCTAGTTAAGTTACCCACATTAGATAATTATATTAGATGAGGTATGCGCCAAAAATGTTCAATTGTACAACTAAAGTAAAACTAGAGGTCCACTTGATTATGCTTAGAGGATTGACCCTCTAGTTAGTCATTTCGTCAAATCTTAACTACTCGTGTTGTTTGCAGATTGACAATCTTACGATATGGCCTAAACAAACAAATCGACTTACTTTAGACTTCGTCTGAAAAATAATTATAAATGACTTAATTTATAAATAAATATAAATGAGTAATGAATAATTTTCATGATTTTATTAGAACGTGTAATTAAAAATAAAGATTGATTATCTATAAATAATTTAAAAATTTTGACAACCGAACTTACATGTATAGTCCTAATTAGCTTACATCTTACATGACATGTGTACAATGATTTAGTACGTAGTTTTTCTTGAACACGTATGATTTTTAATTAACAATTCCAAGAACAGTACAGCTGCAGAAGTNAGGGTATATCGGTCATTTTATGTTAAAAATTAGGGCAAATGACGTTTTTTGTCAAAAAAATCAAAGGTAGAGACGTTCTGCTTCAAAAAATCAAAGGGGCGTTCTGCTTAAAAAAATCAAACGTATGGACGTTTTATAAAAAAAGAGGCAAAGATATAGATATTTTGCGCCAATTACCTTTATTTCATTTGGAGAATGTGCAATTATAATTAGGAAAGATAATTTAAAAAAATAATAATAATAATAATGGATGCCAAACACTCTTTATGTCTACAGAGGTGGTGGAACGGAAACTTCCGTTATCTTTCCTGCTCTCTCTCTTCTTTATCTGTCCAAATTAGCACACAAATTCACGAAACATATATACATGTTATACATATATACTATATACATACATATATATAATCAAGTATATAGATTTACAAGTACATACGTATATAGCCGTTGTATTGCTTAGAGTAAAAGGAAAGTGAAGGCAAGAAAGTTAAGAGAGAATGCCGCCGGCGAGCAATCCGCTGGTTTTGGTGGCAGTGGCAGTGGTAGTTTTATCGGCTGCGGCGGTGTTTGGTGGCGGAGGGAAGAGCCTGACGTTGACTCTAGAAAGGACGAGTCATGACGGAGTGGAGATGAGTGAACTCAGGGACCGCGACCGATTCAGACATGGTAGAATCTTGCAGCAACAGCCTACGGGAGTGCTTGATTTCCCGGTCGAAGGCACCTACGATCCTTTTCTTGTTGGGTATAATATCTCTCTCTACTATATATATGTATATATATACAGGGTCATGTATATGTCTGTGTATGTATACACGTATTGATTGTATACAGAAATATTTTTTACTGAAATCATCACAAAAAACAAAGAAATGGGAAAGGAATTTGTTGGGTTCTTGGCTTGTGTCTATATTTATATTTTGGAATATATAATATATTTTGTATATTTGGGTCTCAAATTTTACATTATGATTAAATTGGGACTCATTGGTGCTTCTGGATCTTGTTTTCAAGGTTATATTTTACAAGAGTTAAACTGGGGACACCTCCAAAAGAATTCTATGTACAGATTGATACTGGAAGCGATGTTTTGTGGGTCAGTTGCAATTCCTGTAATGGCTGCCCAACATCCAGTGGACTCCAAGTAAATCCATCATTCTTGCGTGAAAATCTTAATTTTTTTTTGCTTCGAATTATGTCACAGAATTATTGGATGACATTTCTTTAGTAGGATTTTATTGCATTTTAACAGATTCAGCTCGAGTTCTTTGATCCTTCGCACTCATCAACTGCTTCGCCGGTCTCATGTTCAGATCGAACGTGTGCTTTGGGAGCACAATCTTCTGATTCATTCTGTTTGAATCAAAACCAGTGCGGTTATACGTTCCAGTATGGTGATGGCAGTGGGGCTTCGGGTTTTTACGCATCTGACTTGATGTATTTTGACACAATTGTTGGGAATTCATTGGCCTCAAATTCTTCTGCACGAATTGTTTTTGGGTGAGTAAAGGAAGAATTTGTCAAATTATATTTAGTATATTTCTTCTCCCTTTGTTTTTCATTAAAGGAGAAAGGTTGTTGTACCGAATCAGAGGCAAAATGACGTATAATGATTTATGTTGCTGACTCCAAATTTAGAGCTTTTTGAGCTCCTTTTTATTTTTATTTTTTCAAAAATGCATTTTGAAATAGCGATTTGATGGAGAATGTATGGTTAAAAAATAAGGAAACGTTTTGGATTTGTGTGTGATATTATTTTTATCGAAAAATGTGTGGCTGAAAATAAAATAGAGAAAAATTTATTTTGAAAATAATGTGGATCAAGCAGGGGCTTATTTAAGAATAATGCTTAGTTGTTTGTTGTTGTGTAATCGGTGTATTTCTTCATTATTTGTTTAACCTTGTTGCATTGTCTTGACACAGCTGTAGCACATCACAGACGGGGGACCTTACCAAGTCGGATAGGGCAGTCGATGGTATATTTGGTTTTGGACAGCAGGGTTTCTCTGTCGTCTCACAACTTTCTTCACAGGGAATCACCCCGAATGCATTCTCTCATTGCTTAAAAGGAGATAATGGTGGTGGTGGCATATTAGTGCTCGGTCAGATTGTGGAGCCAAATATTGTATACACTCCACTTGTACCATCACAGTATGTATTGTCACTATTTGTGGGTCATCTTATCTTTTCCTCACCTATACTGAGTTTACTCTTCCATATTTTTTTAATAGAATCTGTTTGTTACTGAGTTTCCTCGCCTTTACTGAGTAGGTTAAGAACAGATTGTTTTGAGGGTTGTTCTATATTCTTTATTCTTTATATAAGGGCGCTTGGGTTCTTATTTGAAGGAAATCTGTGAATGGGAAAATGCTTGTTCTGTATACTTTTGGTTGCCATATTATGAGTTCGGATTATTTAACAGTGTGTGCTATTTCAATTTTTTTTTTTCTTTTTTTGTTATGCGCTTTCTAGTATACCCCCTCGAACTGTTTAATGATTTTATTTCAGTGAGTTTGGTATTTTGTCCATTACTACGAAGGCATTGAAGTTTTGAATGGTACGACTGAAGATTGATATTGTTTCTGTATCCAACTGTCAGGCCACATTATAACTTAAATTTGCAGAGCATTGCCGTTAATGGGCAGTTATTACCCATTGATCCAGCAGTGTTTCAAACGTCTAACAACCGAGGAACAATAATTGATTCTGGAACGACTTTGGCGTACCTCTCAGAAGAGGCTTACGATCCTTTTGTCAACGCTGTAAGTATGGGCATGAATGTTCTGATTTCTCATATAAAGTACGTTTTAAATTTATAAAGTAACTTAAAAATTTACATACTAGAAAAAATAAGTAATCATAGCAGGAAATAAGTAACTTAATTAACTTGTTTTACTTACAAGCAGGGGAACCCATCTGAACATGTTCGGACACAAAAATTCACTTAAAGCGTAGACGAACATGCTCTGAGCAAGCTACAATTTGAACTATAACTATGCATGCATCGAGACACTAAAAAATAGAATATTTTCTCTTGTGCAGATAACGCAAATGGTTTCACAATCCACACACCCCCTTGTTTCCAAGGGAATCCAGTGTTATCTAATTACCTCCAGGTTCTTTTTGAAGACACAATATCCTTGTCTAGATATTCTTGAGCTACTCAGTTGATCATTTCCATTTTTTTTTTATTATTATTACTCCAGTGCCTCTGGGATATTTCCCTCAGTTAGTTTAAACTTTGCTGGTGGGGCATCAATGCTACTGAAGCCTGAGGATTACCTCTTACAGCAGAACTCCATTGTAAGTCAGCATTTTGGACCTTTTGAACTTATTTCTATTCTCAGTGTTGTTTGCTTAAAAAATTTACTTATAAGCAAACAAGTAACTTTTAGAATAAATAATTATTTTGTTGGTCAGAATTACTTATTTGAGGGTAACTCTTGCTTTACTATTGTCTATCAAAATAAGTATTTTTTTGACTTAAAAGAAGAAAAGTGACAGATAGAAACATGTTTGTAAATATAAGGTTGGCCAAACATGATTTTAAGTTGATTTTGGTTCCAAATGGCATAAGCCTTTATGGCATGGAAATTGGGAATTTTTTGAGTTGCTTTTTACCGAGACCCATGTTTTCATGTAGATTGTTTTTCACAAGATCTAACTCCAATTAAAGTGATATACTTATCAAAATTCTTTATGACAAAAAATGCAAAAGTGTTAATTTACCTCCAGTGATGTTCAATTCCTTTACTGGCCAAAGAATTTCCATCGTTGTTTATCTGAGCTATTAAGATATTGTGGCCAATACAAGCTCTTTCGACCAGTATTTGCATTATCCGCTAATGATTTTCCCATCTCTAGTATCCTTGTACGCATCTTATGCTTTTGCATCATTAGGATTAGGGCATTAATTTCACCGAAGGGCTAATAAACATAGTTGATCTTTTGATGCTTGTATGAATTCATCATATAACGACTTGTTTGGTAAAGTAGATTAAAAAGTACTGAACGGTGTTGATGAAAACAAAAATGCTATTGTCCCGTACTCCCGTTGATTCTACTTTCTAGCTAGTATTGTCTCGTATTACGTGCTGAACATGCCTTAGTGAATTATGTTTCTTCAAGATGATATGGTTCCATACTGATACTCTTATGTACTTTTGGGCTAATGTGCTTTTATCATCTTGTTTAACTGCACTTTCCGGGGTCTTATTCTCTCTTATCGGGTGTAGATATATTCAATGAAATGCTGTCATTTTAACCGTCAATTATATAATACTATTTTGCATGGTTTGCTCGTGCAGGGCGGTGCTGCAGTATGGTGCATTGGTTTTCAAAAAATTCAGGGTCAAGGGATTACTATTTTAGGAGGTACTGCTCATTGGGAAGATTGAAGTATTATCAGCTAATAGAGCCAATTTCTACATACAAAAGAAAAAACATCTCTAAGTATTACTGTTGGTATATTTTTTCTATCTATTCATGCGTCCTGGCTACTCTAGTTAATCTAATAAATGTGTGTATGCCTTTTTTTTCCTCGACTTGAGACAATTTCTAATTAATTCTTCATCATTTTATACGAGTTTTACTCAACTTTTACCTCAAACTTGTTCTGTACTACTGCTTTTGGTTTTTACTACGTGTTGTTTCCACTAATCCATTATTTTTCTCTGTTTTTGCAGACCTTATTTTGAAAGATAAAATTGTTGTATACGATTTGGCTGGTCAACGGATTGGATGGGCCAATTATGATTGTAAGTTTTTAGTATCATTTTTTACCAGTATATAATAATTGATGCACATTTATTCTCACATGGTACATTGGCGTGTAGATTTATTAGATGCTTTTGTTAAGTACGGTTATTTCTATGTTTGATCGTCAATTATATAAAAAATTTAGTGAATGAACTTATAATGATCATGGTGAAATCATTCGGCTTATTATTTTAAACTGTATTCAAGTCCTGGCTCCACCTCTGATGGAAGTGGTAGTTGTTTCTATACATGCGTGTTATATGAGCAAACCCAAGTCTTGATCAGTATTCTAACTCGATGGACTTAATTTCATCCTATATAGGTTCATTATCAGTAAATGTCTCTACAACCACTGGCAATGGAAAAACCGAATATTTCAACACGGGACAAATCGACAATAGTTCATCCCGTCTCAATTACTACGAGCTACTACCAATTGTTGTTCTAGCTTTCACGTTTTATGTATCAAGTCTTTGTCATTTCCACCTTTTGTAACATTTAGAGAATGAATTTTACATTTATAGTTTTCAATCCAAAAAATGTTCGTAGCAGTCGGGAGTTCTCGTGTTGTATCCTAGAGTGCAGTTTCGAACCTTAAATTTCATTCAGGAATTCAATATTTCCATTTATACATGAGTAATTTATTGTACCCTGGATGGAAATGAATTGGTTATTTCATGTGCTGCAATTCCTTGCTCCGATGGTATAAATTTGGTTAGAAGCCAGTTTGTCTCTTGTTTCTGTTATTGATTTTGTTTGAACATTTGTCCTGCAACTTAGTTGTTTTTGGCACTTATGATTGAATAGTATAGGACAAGCTCAAATGTGCTATCGTAAAGGATTGAAAACAACTGAATGCATTAGATACTTAGAGATTAAGCCCTGTTTGGCTCTCATTGTTACAAATTATAATTAGGGGTACTTACAAAAATACCCTTAAAATTAGGGATGTTTTGAAAAATCATATGAAATGTTTTTAGGAAGTAAAAAATACTGTGTAAAATGAAAAAGTGACACAATGTCACTTTTTTTAAAAAAATTGTCACTTTTTTAAAAAAGTGACACAAACTCAAAAAAAAAAGTGACAAAACTAAAAATAAGTGACGCGCTCTCAAAAAGTGATACAAATTCAAAAAAATGACATAAACTCAAAAAATGTGACAAATACCAAAATAGCATACAATGTCACTTTTATTAAAAACTGATATTTGTTCTCAAAAAAGTAAAGGAATTTTTAAGAAAATAACAGAAAACTTTAAAAAAATTGACAAACAGTAAAAA